TTTGAAAACTCATATTCATATTTTTGCTATAACTCATTTGAACATTTGAAAAGTACTAATATCACTGTCTCAATCGCGTTAATGATTACCGAAACTGTTGCGGCGTTGCCATTTCAATAGCTGTTGGTTTATTTCAATGGATATTCCTTAGTGTGGGGGGAACTAATAGATTCGGATTGTTTTAAGGCGCTTTACCAAACGGATATAATAGTCAACCAATTTATAAATTAGGCGACTTTGTTTTTTAGAAATGGCTGTATCAAGGGTAACATTTCTCAATTGCTGCTAAGGGTCACACTTTAAGGATTGTTTCTTTAAAAACATTTACTCGCGTCAATGTTCTGTGGTTTGGCAATTCTATACCTACTGCTAAATTTGTCATATTATTCAAAATGCAAGAATGCCATAATTTACTGCAACGCCTTTAAAATTTGATTATTTTGCAACACATTACGATTTACCACATTTCTGAAAGATAATATTCTTACCAATTATTAATACACGATAGCTTACCCATTTAATTTCGCTTGTGACAGGGTTCGAGTGGTTAAAAGTTTCTCGATTGTAAATTTATCCTGAAATATCCGCAACTAACTCCGCTATCAAATAACACAATCTGCGCCTTCTTTCGGAATAATTTATCTGAGATTTCTAATCGAAAAGTGTTGGGACTAAGTAATCGTTACCCTCAATATTTTGGTAACTTTATTCAGAAGCGCTTGTTGAGAACTACCTGCGGAAAACAATTTCGTGTTTACTTTTGCGCATTTCTGCAGCCATCTAATAATGGGCGTTATGAATCTTTTCCAGCCAAAGATGTCCTCTAAAGTTTATACACAATCTCTCACGAACAGTCTGAACATTTATTAACGGTTAAACTTCCTGTTCGTTTCTCATGTTTGACACTAACTGTTAACAAAACTTTAATTTGGGGTATTTCGTTAATGGAACTCAACCTTGGTTGACTAAAGTGCCACCATTAAGCTCGTTTTAAAGTATTACACGTGTATTATTGCATATCTTATGGAGGTCACTGAGTACCCACTTCTAGCGCCAACTAGTAGGAAAACTTCCCGACCGTCAGTGTTTGCTTGCTACATTTTTTCTACACCTTTCAACTTTTATTCGAGAAACTATCAAGTTAATTTTGAGAAAGTACAATTGTATTTTTGAGAATAGTTAAAATGTATTTGAGAAAACAACAAACTTGTAGTTCAGAATAGTGTTTGATTTTGAGAAGGCATTCAAATGAATTTGAAGAGTAGTAAATTGTATTCAAGTAGAATGCGTAAAATTAAGTATTTGAGAATCAAATAACAAAATCACATGTATAAACTTGAGCGTGATGCTGCTCGCTCGCTCGCTCGCTTGCGCGGGACTACATTTTTAAAAGTAGCCGGAATTTAAAATTGGATTCTTAATTATAATTTCATTAGGATAATATTACATTCTGTGAAATACAATCATTAATGATACTTTTTCAAATACAATGACTATCTTCACAATACATTTTATGTTTTTCTCAAATCCACATGACTATTCTCATCTACTTTTGACGTTTCTGAAATACAAGAAACAATTCTTCAAATACAATTTACAACTTCTCGAATAAAGTTGGAAAAGGTGTAGTTAAAAAAAACGAAACTTTCAGTTGGGAACGAACGATTTAATAACGCATATTGGCAAATAGAACCATAACAAAAGTGTGTCTGGCAACGTTTCAAAGGAATCGTTACGCAGCAACCTTGGACCCATATACTTTACGGCAACGATCCAATCAGAGTGTAAGAAAACACGCGTCCACTATTAGGTATCTATTCCATTTTTGTGATTAGAATAATGTTCACCCACACCACGTACGACATTCCGCTATCAATCATATCCACAAAAACTCTTAATGCCGGTAATGTGATAGAAATAACAGGCGCCCCCCTCAATGAAATTACTTCGGGGATTTGATTACAATTAACGCAGCGTTTCTCTTAAAATGACAAAATATAACGGGATAAAGTGGAGCTAAGGTCATCGCGTTGTTACTGAATCGAGAAAATAATTCTTGCTTATGTGGGCATCTATCCCTAAAAGCCATTAAGATCGAAAACTTTAGTCTCGCTTTCATTGTGACTTTCCAATGAAACTTACGAGTATATTTCAAAGTTACTTTCAAAGTTCAATTTTGGTAGCAAAAATATTTTGACGCTAATAATAAACGACACCGCAGGAAAAGAGTAGGCGACTTTGAAAATGTAAACCCATAAGAATTACGGTTATTATTTATTTCCTTCTGCACAGATGAATTTTGGGGGAAGATGAGCGACAACATCACGTAATACAATTGGACTGCCGTGAATTGAATCAACCTTGGAAACATTCAAAAATTCGTTCCTTAAATTTATTATGAGTTTATGAGTCACTTGTCTTATCGGCAAACTGCAGCTGAAAGGAAAGGTTTCTGTCCCTACCTGTTGGATTTAAAAGGTGTTCTGGAAGAATAATAAGGAAATAAAGATTTCACCATTGACTGAGATTTTAAAATTTAATCATTTCAATATTTATTATTCCACCCGTGGAAGTTGACGGCACCACAAAACCGATTTCTTTAACGTTTTATTAGGTGCGAATCGTTGTTTATTCGTTTGTTTAGGTTTGTCAGCTATTTTTGACGGTTTGTTTAGGCTGGCTCTAACGAAAAGCCAAAATAGGTTGGCGTGCCGCCAGCTTCACGTCAGCGGCACCCATGGTGGGATTTTGCCTTTTATCTTACGACTATTAAATACGTCACTATATTTTAGCGATTATGATATAGGATTATTATCGGGTTCCATCTTAAAATCCTTATATAAACTACTCTTATGTCACATATATATTTTCTCATAATTGCATATGTATAAGTTCATAATTGTAGCTACTAAAAATAGAAACGCCATCTCGTATGTCACTACTGTCTAGGTTTTGTTTAGAATTTTAAGGACGGCAATGCTAAATAAGTTTAAGTGGAGTTACCATGGATGGCGCTTCAATTAATAAGCTTTTAATTTTTTTAAAAATCTAATCACACATAGGTGTCACTATAAATGATTATTAAAAGGTATTCATTAATGCCGTACTTTTTATAATGTAGCCATTCTGCAAAGATGGCCCTCCTATAACCAGGCACCAGGTGTTACAGTATCTGATACAATGTTTACAATCACAGTACCAGACGTATAATGTGACATAACTGAATAAACAGAGGCTACTGTAAAACTGCTAACGTAGGAAGGTTATTGTACTATTTATATTTATACCTTTCTTTGTGAGTTTACCATCGTCGACTTTCCGTTTCACTTGTGAAATTTTGTTTGCAGCCCGCGACTTAATTTTTTGTGGCGGACCACTAAAATGTATAAATTTCCCTCAAATACGAAATGTTTACAACATCACTACTAAAGTTGCATACAAAGATGTTATGCTAGTTGAAGTGTGACAGCCCTGCTCTAGGAGTTTAAAACGAAACAAAGCATCGAAAAGTGCGAAAAAACGGTGGGAAAATATTCGCAACCGGACATCTAATCGTCAATGTCCAACACTGAAGATCAAGATACCTTGCAGCGGAGATACATATTATACATTACATTATACGAAAACCGTTTAGAGCGCTTTCGCAAAGTAATGAATAATATATTATTTCAGCTAAGGTCTGATGATGAATTATAGATTCGAAATCGATTACCTATAGTAATTTTAAAGTAAATTTTTTGAGAAAACTCGTTTTTAATCTACATAAACGTAATGA